AATTTGCGAATTTTCGTGATTTTTACGTATGTTGTCAAAATTCAAACTTTGAATGCCTATAAAAAAAAAAAAAATTGTGACTATGAATTTATTTTATTATTCAACTGCTATTGTAAAAATATGTTAGGAACCTTGTATTAAATTTTCAAGATTTTCTACCCAACAAATAAATTTTTATCGATATTAATTTAAAAAAAAACTAATAATGATCGAAAAATGCATATGCCTATGAATAGTTCAACTTAAGTCAAAATGTTTTGAAAATTATTGTATGGTGGATAGAATACACTTATATAAACATTCGGTAAAAATGTTCATGTATCTATGGTCATTTGTTTTAAAGTTACATCAAAAATCAAAATCGATTTTATCAAAAACTGATTGTGCGTAAAATTTCCCGTTTTTCCCTTAATTTTTAGTTTGTTTATCCCGATTATTTAGAAAAATACCAACTAGTTTCACTTTTTGATCAAACGAGGTACTGAAGTCGAAAATCGAAGCACTTTTACTGCCCAAAAACGTTATGACAGACACAAAAATATATAAATAAATAAAAAAAAACACACATCATGGTAAAATCAATACATTCCTTGCTCTGCTCAGAATCCAAAATTGAAAATTTAGGTTTTTAAATTAAAAAATGTTAATGTAAGTACTTCAATCGCGCAGGTATTATATTGTGAAGTAATCGAAAAGCACCACTAGTCATCTCTTGTGCAACAGAAGCCATTATCGTTGGATCATAATTTGTTTCACGATTTAAACCATATTCATTCATATATTTTTCACCTAAAAAAATTTTGAACTATAAAAAATTATTAATTCTTTAAATATTAAGTCACCCTTACCCAAAATTATCGGCAAAAAATGGTCGTATGTAATAATTTGAGTTACAGCTGCAACGATTCTACGTGTTTCTTGGTAGATAGTCTCATCCGTCCATAAAGGGTGTTCTTCTTGCAACTTATTAGCAATATAATTATGGAATCTTAGGAATAAATTTTGAAATAATGCTATTCCTAAGTTCTGGTTAACATTTACGTCTCCTAAATACAAAATATATCTAATGTGAATTTAATAAAAATACATATTTTTTTATTTAAAAAAATAATTAAATTAAATTATAAGAAACTTAAAAATACGTAATAGGATATTAAATCTGAGAGCAACGACAAATCGTTCAATTAAAATAATTAAAATGAATGGAGAGAGCAAAAAATAGAAAAATTATGTCTGAATCGAATAAAGCGTAGTATTGTTTTTGTAGAAAGACGTGATAAATTAATTAATGAAAAAAATATTTTTATCGAAATTTTAATGTTTTAAACGAAATCTATGTAAAGATTTTTGAAATATATTTAATACACGCGCGATACGACGATACACCATTATAATAAGGTAATATTAATTTTGTATCAAAACAAATATTACACATATGTTGTGTGACAACATTGTTGTTAATATTATCTTTGTTTATTCATGAATATTTTAGGTGTTTCTTAATTTTAAATAAAAACATAATTTGGTATCAACAAATAAATAATCAAATTTGAAATTTAATTACGTTTAGTATATCAAAATTGAAGTATTGTTAAGTGTTTCATCATTTCCGTATAATATATAACACTAAAATGAATAACAATGAATACATAAAATCCACTGAGATAATTTTGTTAGAAAAAAGATACAAAGTCAGAGTTCAGACTCTAGATTTTTTTCAATGTATTTGTCTATTACCTGCAACGAATGCTATTGTTACTTGAGTCTGATTTCCGTTTTTTACAATTTTACTTGGATCTTGGGGACAATAAACTTGATTTCCAATTGTATTGTATAGTAATTTTCCTCCATTGAACAGACGCAATTCATTTGCCAATTCAGGATCCGAACCATATACATTTGACGAGTCGATATAATGCGTGTTTTTATTAAGCTAAATTATGAAAAATTAAAAATAAGAATGTTATAAGTTGAAGATAGTGATTTTGCTATTATACACTATTTAATATCAGAACATTAGTGTGCTATAACAATAAACTGTTTTAATAAATAATCGAGTTTAAAGATTTTGTACGATAGACATACATTTCTCATAATATTAAATTGTATGATACATTTGGATACCACTTTATATATAAATACGCATAGTGTATTTTATCAATATATAAAAAAAAAACTATTATAAAGGCATAACTTTTACCATAAAAAATCATTACTAACTGAAAACAAACAATATTTGAATTAAACGTATAGGTACTATCAACTAATGTTCTGATTTAATAATGATATTAAAAATACTAACAACCGTCTCAGGAACTAAAGAACAATTATAAGCCTTCGAAGTTATAAGACGCAAGAATTTTAAAATCGTTATATTTTTTTTCGCGTACACTGGATCATCTGCAGATAATGGAATGACCGCTTCGCACTCTATTGGCGGATTTTTATCTTGACAATGGTCTAGTGCAGCTATATATTATAATAATATATACACAATGTGATTAAAAATCGAAATAGATTTTTTCGCTCAAATTCTAGTAAAATTTTACCTGGAAAAGATGAATTGACACTACGAACTGGTGAAAAAGCTGTATCGTGGGTAATGAACTGGCCCCACGGTACTAAGAGTTCGTTATTTTGATGATCACAAATCCTATGTGTGTCCTGGAACATTGTTAGAGTAAGGTTTCGAGCATTTGGTAATGGTCTTCCGTCCGATTGTACACGAAATGCTGAAATTCCTAAAACCATAAAATATTTAATTTCAATAACCATAATGTAGTTATATAGTTAATGTTAAAACAATACCTAGGTACCTATCATAATAACCTGATATATTTTTCATATAAATTAAACTTTGATTAATTGTTTTTATTTATCGATTATAACGTAGATAGTAATTAAGAATTAAACATTTTTTAAATTACCATCGCTAAACACCGGATCCATATATCTATAAAAAGGAGTTAGTGCTGCACCCCAATTAGGATTTTGCAAATTATTGCATGATCCATTCACTGTTCTGTATTTTGCTTTAGGGTCACATGTCACTTGCGTTGCGCATTTATTGAAATAATCGTTGTTGATCGTTGCCACGCTATTTAATCTTATAGTAGGTATTTTCTAAAAATAAATATTAAAAGTAGTTTTAAATTAAGTAGTTTCTTTATTTAACACATTGATGGACAGTCATGAAAAAGTATTGCTATAGCAGCATTGTTGTTTAGTGACGCCAGTGGACACTTTTGAATAATTCTTTTATAGCAGCTAGTACTCTAAAAACCGACCGAAAAGTGACACTACTGCTATAGCAGTAGTTTTTTCAATATTATCATATGAAAGACCAAGYTTTACTGTCTATAAACATAAAGCAACATTGGACAGCATAAGGCAGATACAGTTTTTCTATAAATTTTATATTATAAATTGGTATCAATTTCCAAAAAATGTTAGATATTATGACAAAATTATTTCTATTTGGACTGTAAATGATATCGACGGCATCGTATTGTTGATAACAACATACATGTTTTTTTTATATAATATTATCTACATCTGGTATCATTCTCCAGCACTTATAAGTGTAAAGAACGACACAGACCCATAACATTAAGATTAACTCCCAATCTATTATAATTTTAAAATAACAATTGACAGGAGCCTTATTTGAATTTATTTTATTTTATTTTATTCTTTTTAATTTTTGCGTTATTACAAAACTATCAACACATATTACATGAATACGTCAGTAGAATATATGGGTATATATAATATGGGCACATATATTATTAATAAATAATAATTATTAACTGTTTATTTAATCTTCGTCGTTTGCACAAAACATAATATATAAGGAATAAAAAAAATTGTATTACTTCTATAGCGGTATTATATTATTTTTGTCATACGTACATCACATATTTAATAATATAATAGGTCACTACTGCTATGGCAGTACTAAAACATTGATTTAGTAAGGCATGCTTTACATAATCATTGATAATTCTCAGTGTCCGTCAATATATTTAAAAAAATTATATATTTACCTTTGGTGTATTGAATATCAAAAAAACCACATACAAGACAATAAATATACACAATAGAAGGGTCACAAAGAGCAACACGTTCCGTAATTTGAACCATTCCAATTTCGATTTTAACTTAGAACCAATAAGAGGGCTGAAAACATTAAAATTTAATATTAGAAAAAATATTTACCATTATATATTTTTTTTTACCTTTCAACCCTGTAAATTGTTACCTTATATAATTTAATTTTTAATTTTTATCAATACACTACACGTCTTATTTTAGACCTAGATAAGTTCAAAAATATTGAACTAATATAGTATCTGTACCTAACTTTTAGGATTGTACATATTATGTAAGTAACTAGAAAAAATACTATCTCATAAAAAATATAACTAAATTCAATAATTATAATTATTTTATAACTTTTTTAAGACAGGTACTTAGTATTATATGATTTGTGTCATTTTCTGTATACACATTTGTTATTTGTGGATAGATATACTACAGTTGTAATAGATGTCTTGATGGTTCTTTAATATTGTTATTAGATCATTAAACGACTGCTAATTTGTCAATATAAAATATAATATGCGAATAGTGTTGGATTTTAATAATTTATAACGCTTATATGTAAAAAAACATCTCTTTAGTGAAATGCAGAATTCGAATTTCATCGTAGCAGAGATTTGTGATGACGTGAAATAATATTTTATAGAGAGATTAGCGGACACGGACGTTTTGGCGCCGCCGTTTGGACGCTGCCGTTTTGGTCCTGTCGTTTTGGCCCTGCCGTTTTGGCGCTAACTCCGTTTGGCGCTATCCATTTTGGCGCTAGCAGTTTTGGCGCCAACTAACCTAATAGAATTTGTATCAAAATTGTACCTAAAAAATTATTACAAGATTAAGTAAAAATATAAATATATAGTAAAAAATTAAAACATAGTGAATAGGTAGTTAATATAAATATAAAATACAATATAAAATTGTACTTAAAACATTATTATAAGATAATATAGTTAAAATATAAATATAAATATATAGTAAAAATTAATAGTTTTAAACAATTATTACAAGATATAGTCAAAGTATAAATATAAATATATAGTAAAATTTAAATAGTTAATTAAAAAATTATTACATTAAAAATAGTTACCCTAATGAAACATTGTTTGCAATGCCTCTTAAAAATAATAAAATTCAATTTTTATCATAATTAGACACTAATTTTAAAATTATTTTATCATTATCATTGTATTTTTTCAGCATTATTTACAAGCTTTTCTCGATCACGTTTCGATTGAATTTTCTCCATTTTTAAATTTTTTATGTATAACTGTGTACAAACTTTATTATCACTTTACTAAACGCGTGCTTGTATACTGTATTAGACAAAAATGACACCAAACTATCAGGTGAACACCAAATTTTACTTTTATTGTTTTATTATTTTTATTATTATAAATTATATAAATAACGCGCGACCTTTCTTTTCTAATCTACGTTGTAGATTCTATGCAATATATGATCTAATGGTTTTGCGTGTGAACAGCATGATTTGCTTTTATCGTTATACTTTATTACAGTTACAATAGATAACGTGCAATATTTATTGTCGATTGACATTTTTTCGTCTTGGATTAAATTCAATCATTTATACTTATGAATTATTAAAATATATCAAAATTCATGTTTTGCTACAATAACTATTTAATTTTTTACTATGTTATATTTATATTTTTATTTTTATAATATCTTGTAATAATTTTTTAAGTAGATTTTTACAACTAACTATTTACTGTATTTTCATCTCAAATTAATCGTAATATTTAACAAAATTGTAATTTTAAATATTATATAGAAATATTAGCTGGCGCCAAAACGGCAGGGCCAAAACGGCAGGGCCAAAACGGCAGGGCCAAAACGGCAGCGCCCAAACGGCGCGGCGGCGCCAAAACGTCCTAGACCAAGAGATTAGGTAGATTTTTATTGGTATTTGTATACAGTGGTGTATTTAGGGATATCACACTCCAACAAATATACAATGAAATAACAACCCAATTTATTACAATTTACAATTAACAACATATATATATATATTTATATATATACAGGGTGATTCTTTTAAGTGGGTACACTAATTATCTCGAAAAGTATTTACTTTTTTCAAAATATTTTTTTACATGGTTTCAAGTTGTTAAAAAACCAACGTTTTTATTAGAAAATTATATTTTCAAATATTTTTTATCCTTATAATTTTTTAAGTTTTTTACTTTTTTGTATGACAACATATAATTTTGATTTCATATTCCAAAGCAAAATATTTTTCTAAGTATTTTGATTCATAAAAATCGAATTTAGGACGAGTAGTTTATGAGTTATATGTATTTAAAGTTTAGACTAGCAGAGTAGTGGACAAATATTTAGCGGGGTAACCCCGTACCATTCCACTCTATCAATCTAAACTTTAAATACTTACAACTCAAAAACTACTAGCCCTAAATTCGATTTGTATGAATCAAAATAACCTCTGCATAATTTGTCAAATCTAAACTTTCCAAAAAAAGTATTATCATAAATTAAATTATAAGTCTGTTGACATTTTAGGTGACTATAAGATGCGTCCCGTGCCAAAAATTTCTTCAGCATTGTAGATAAGATTTTTTTAGTGTGCATATGAATGTCAGACTCGATCTATTTTAAGTTTTTTTTTATTTTAGTTAAATACTGGATTATTCAAAATTAAAAATAAATACTGTAGGTATAATATTATGAAACATAACATTTTTTCCTATTTTCACACAGACTTTCTACAGTATTATTATTTATTATTAACTAGGTAGACACACTTCATGTAGCTAGAAAAAATCTATTATTAAGCAAGTTATAGTCGCTATTGTTTTATAAATTTACTATTTAGCTACTGATGTAGATTCTATCATTAGAAATTATGATATTTCTAGACTCTAGAGTCTAGAGCAAAGGCCATAAATTAAGTTAGCCAATCATTAAAAAAATTATCAAAATTATTTTGTGAATCCTACATTAAATTAAAACATCTAAATCTGTTATGATATCATAATTGTTTCTAATTATAATAATTTATACTTCTAACCTTTTATTGGTTGTACGTGATTATTTATCTCTCGTGGTTTTTACGATGATAAACACTGAGTTGTTCGTAATTATAATGTTTTCTTCGGTTCAGAGTACCTTCTCAAAAATTATTGAAAAATATATTTATACATTTGTACAATGTACAGTGTGTCCCGTGATGAATTACCCAATGCGATATCTCCCAAAATAATGGTGATATCGAAATATTCTGGTTTTGTAATAAGACTAAACTTGCTTAAAAGTATCAAGTGTAGCATCTTTTTTGAAAGGTAATGTTCTCGAGCTGGTACTTTAAATAGGTAATTTTTCGATTTTCAAAACAGTACTCAAAATAAAACTGGTTAAAGGAGAAAAACGTACGATTTTACGATTTTATAATATTAAATAATTACGGACGATGTTTTCTACCAGAAATATTGCTTCAAATGAAAAATGACAAGATATCTTTTAACTGTATTTTGGATTTTGTTCCTTACGGTTTAAAGTTTGTAAAATTTTAGCCATTTTTAAGCTATTTATAGACATTTTAATTTTGAAAGTTTTTTTGTTGTAATTCGGTGCAAAAAATTCGTAAAATTTAGTTGTTTACTTATATTATCCTTACCTAGACATGGTAAAATTTTCAAAACATTTTAGCGACTTTTGAGCTTTTTCTTATATTTTATATATTTTTTTTTTCATTTTTATGACATGTCCTAATTATAAATTATAATTATAATTAGATAAATTACCTGATTATACAAATCGTTCTTAAGCTGTTCTTATAATGCTTTGTTTATCACCATAGAAACGAATAAAATTAAATGAAAAAGATTCCCTCGTCCGCTCAAAATTGTTTTTTACTGAATGTAATCATTGCATTCAAATCGAATACAGTAAAATTACACTATTCTGTTCGATGACCGAAGGGATGATGAACAATCCACCACCGAAATGCTGACCAACTTTTTTTTATTTTTGATGAAAATTGTGAATTATTTAATACCGTAATGTTATCAAACATGTGACCGCTGCGACACACGCATTCCCATACGGCCGGCCAAATACTTTCCGTACGTGTTCCTAATTTATATTTATCATATTTATTTCTTCAAAACTAGAAAAAATATTAAAAATCAGGAAATTAATGAAAATAAAATTTTGAAACGTCAATATTTTCAAAAAAATAAACTCTACAAAATGGCTATCTTTAATTTTTTTGGAAATAATTAAATAAAAAAAAATATTTTTTACATTTTTTACAAAAACATCAAAATAAATTAAAAATTGAAATAATTGTAGTACTTATCTCTGTGAATCTTATTATAAAACTAGAATTTTGATATCTCCATTATTTCGTGAAGTACAATCCTCGCGGGACACCCTGTATACCAACAAACAGGTCTTTATCGTTCGTTGAACATAAAATATACCCATATTGTATTTAGAATATTATATAGTAATTTAATGACATTTTCTTAAAAGCTATTTCACTAGAGATACTAGTGTACCAATAAGATAGAGTTACGAGTATCGCTCGTACTTGTATTAGATGACGTTCGAGACACATTAATCAAACGAAAAATATAGACCAGTAACTATATATTATTAGCTTAAGAAGGTCCCACATTTTTTAATGTGAATAGTGTGGTTTAAATTATGTATACATTCTTTAATTGGTTTTAATTAAGCCTCAACAACAAAGGTTATTGGCTATAAACATTAATATTTTTTCACACAAGTATGAAGCATTAACAATAATATATATATATGCATAACAATAATCATATTATAATATGTATAACTTATTATAACAACAAAATACGGATACACCAGCTATAAAAACAGTTAGGTATATTTAAAATGGCTAAAAGCGTATTCTTTGAAAAATATTTGTATTTTTTAATGTATGAACAAGCAGTTAACAGATACAAGTAGGTATACCTATAAAAATCGTAATATATACAGGTTTAGTGTCAAAACATTCCCACGTGCACATACCTACTATACATAATTTAAACTACCTAAGTATAACTTATTTTCATTAAAAAAAATGAAATCTATTCTGTAAACTCTTCTAAATTATTTTTGGTTTTTTATTTTAATAACAAAACTATCTTTCATAACTTAGTTATTAGTTTAAGACTTTAAGTACGTATAAATAACATAATTGTATTACAATTGTACAACCAATCTTTATAGATTTCCCTTTACTCTTTCAACAATTATATTTATTTAATTATTATTATTATTATTTTTAATCCTTGTTGTAAACTTATCCATCACATAATTAATTAAAAATTAAATGTATTTTGTTATTTTAAATTCTAATTATGGCTTTTTAAATAATAGGCATTTAAATTTATTAAAATCCTCGTTAATAAAAAATACTCACGAATTTTCATTTGTAAATAGTTTACTTCTACTTCTTAAAATGTTACCCATTTTGCATTTATTAGTAGATCTATTTCTAATAACGAACTACGTTATCGGATTGAACAATGTTCCGTAATATCTGTGTATAGCTGAATATAAACTGAAAGTAGTAAAGAGTTGTTCACGGAGACATGAACACCGGTGCCTACTAACGAATAACCACTATCGGAATTATTCGATTTATTCTCATGTTATATAACAGCTACTTTTATCATTATTATTAATAATAATAATAATAATAATAATGTTTTCCCTGTTATTTTTATTTTTTAATAGATTATTTATTCGAACATAAAAAAATAAATAATTATATAATTGCATATTTGCATTGAAATATGGATTTATGTAAAGTAATTATTAATTAATTCAATACCTATCACTTAAATTATTTTATTTTATGTTTGTTGATGTCAAGTGATATGCTAGTTTTATACTTTTTATTCTTACTAAACTCGTGTAAAAGATATTAAAAAATAGTAATACTAAATTATCGATAGACAACTATCGATATAAACAAGAAAAATAAAATATAACGGGTCACGTGGTAGCCTAGCGCTACAACAATCACGGTACTGTTGCTTGTTAATTGTTACCAGATACTCATCCTCTGTTAAACTATACTTATCACCAGTTTATGTAAACCTTACGTAAGAAAATTAGAATAATTTATTATAAAAACATTTGGAATTAACCTTATAACATAACCTCTATCTAAGARGTTCTTCAACGGTTAACGCGAAATACCATATTATGGTCTACCATGAGTCTCTTTAGTACTTTATAGTTCATTTATAATGTAGCATATTGTTCAATATTGTATCATAAGTACATGCAAAACTAGAACGTTTTATTAGGACAAGCCAAATGACAAATATAAAAAAAATTCTAATTACAAAATAAGTTTTTATTTAAATTTTAGATTTTATTATATCAGTATGTTATCCGATGGCCAGTTAGTATTAGGTCAGGTTATGGCCTTTGTGACCTGACCCGTAGTTTCACCTATGGCTATAAAGGTTTGCTGACAACATGCMGGTATCTAATGAAAACTTTGACTTACAATGATAATAAACTCTGGAATCAAAATACAATTTTTGTAAAACTGAATTAAACTCAGTATTGTCTATAACGATGGTAAAAAATATGTCGTTATATTATAAATGAACATTTAAATAAAAGGAATAATTTTGTCGGGACCTTGAAATTAATGTCGTGTCGTCTTTTTGACCGGCATCGTTGTGTATAATATGTATATATGAATCGGTGCGGCAACAGGAAAACCGGTTTTTACAACCTACCGAGTAAGCACACCGTTTTATATACACTCACCAGGATCCAGCGGTTCTCAACTTTGGTATGTCATGTCGACACTTGGCACCAAATGACATTTACTCAATTTTTTTATGCAATCTATTTGAAAATTATGTTCAAAGTGTTTCAATGAGTGCTACGCATAAGTGCATGACCAAGMCGCCGCCGCCACTTTAATTTTTTCAACTACCATTAAAAGAAACTTTAATTCATAATTTATTATTATTATTATTTTTACTCATATTGTCATTTAATTATATTGATAACTAACTTTGTGGAGACCCATTCAAAATCATTTGCGACCCAAAATTGGCAACAGTCAAATCGTAATTTTTTGTTCCAAAAAAACTATCGTTCGTTCATAAAAGATTGTAGAGAATAGAGAAATTTATATTTTTTTGTTGGAAAGAATTTTTTATAAGTGTTAATTTTGCCAGTTGATTTAGATGAGTAGAATTGAAAAAACGTAGAAAACACTATGTAAATGACGCGCTATCACACTCTGACATATAACATTTAACCATTCAAGCGATTTCTGTCGCAGTCATACACCGTTTYATTTTTTCGTGCCGTTTCATTAATTCGTGGCGTTTCATTTTTCGTGACGATTTTTTTCTCCATCCATACCTCAAGAAAGAAGTTTTACTTCAAAAATTCTTTAAAATCACAAATATTAATCGATTATTTTGTACTTAAAATTCATATTTTTAAATCTGTACACCTACAATATACAAATTAAATACGAAATTTCTTATAAGTTTATTGTTTCAGCAGTTGAAAAACAAATAGTTTAGCGTAAAACAACCACTTGCATTTTTTTTTTTATAAATTATTGAAAATTAAATATTGATGAAATTGGATATTAATTAGGTATTCAAAATTTCAAACGTATAGGTATTAACAAGTTTATTAGTTTTTAAATACCTAACCTAAAAAATTTTAATCGTATAAACTTGAAACATTCCATTATCATAAAATATAATGTTCAATACACAGACACTATAATTTTAAAACAGTTTAACGAATATAGAATATTTATTATACACATAAACTTATTCAAACAACTTGTCAGTATGTATGCAGGGGCGGAGTGGGTAGGGATTTTAGCCAGGAAGATAATATAAAATTACTTTAATATTTTTACACATTTGGGATAATACATAATACAATATAATTAGTAATTACTTATCAGTATGCATATATTAACACTAATATGTGAATCGATTTATCAAATAGCTTATAAGCTTCAATGATTTTTTATTTAGGTCTACTGATTTAAAATACTTTAAGTCAGAAAAAATCCAAAATATTTCATAAAAATCTATATGCCACATGTTAATTTTAATCAGTTGATCATTTGATCCGTCATAAAGAATGTGTCTTTTGTTCTTAATTAAATGATTTTCATCATTTTTAGTTATGTAGAATGGAGCTTACATGAACCATATTCGGGTGTATATAATTTCGAAGGACAAGCTGACATTGAATATTTTTTGACAATTTCAAAACAAGAAAACATGAATGTCCTTATTAGACCAGGGCCGTTTATCTCAGCTGAAAGGGACTTGGTAAGTATTAATACCAGTGTAAAAAAAAATATTGTTATGTTGTTAAGTTCCAATAATATAAATTCAGACTTTGTAAGTAATGCAAAAAAAAGGGAAGGAAAAAAAAGTTACAACAGTTTTACAACTTTTTTAAACAGTTCAACCCTAAAATGGAGGTGCCATATTAAAAAAAATACAGGGATCGTAACTTGTAACATTTTTAAATTGTACATATTTCAAAGCTTTTATCTTATTTTAATGTTTTCATGTTTTTAGCTCTATTTTATACTTATTCTATCTTTTGAAAGTAGAAAAATTGATGTTTTTTTAGTCAGTGTTGATTAGTTTTATTAGATTAAACTTATGTAATAATTCATTGTATAAACATACGAGATTTATTAGTTCTCCGTCACTCGTCAGTCGTTTAAGTAATTCCATCGATATAAGAATATTGTGTTGAACATACTTTGTATAGACTACTTTAAAATAAATAAGAAGTATTATAGATTAAGTTATTAGATAAGTAATACACTAATACCTATTATATGGCATGTAAAATGTGTTTATGGAATTATTCAAAAATAAAAGCAATATATCATTGGAGTTTGTAAWACCAATACGTTCATAATATGTACTTCGCTTCTCAGTCTAAATTCATTAAATATTTATTCAGAATTTACAGAAATGGATATTTAAAACATGATACGTTTTGTGGGCACAGTGTTTGGTTACAACAATATAACAGTCTTTACGTGACTTTTTCATGAATAAAAATGTATATTGTGAATCACCATTGTGTGGAGGGAAGGTATTATATCTATACTTCGGAATTCAGATATAGATTTCATGTAAAATTAGAATGTTAATATTTTTTTCAGTTGAGTGGTTAAATAGACCTAGAACATTTTTTATACTTAATTCGGTTATAATATTTTTGTTTTTTAAATTGCAGGGTGGTCATCCATATTGGCTGTTGAAAGAAAAACCTAGTATACATCTGAGATCTAGTGACCCAAGTAATATTAATATACCTAATATTATGTATATCCGTTAACATTTAAAACTATAAACCTCACAGATTGGTTTAAAATTTATACTTACCTACTTAAGTTTTACTGACTAATTTTTGACTATTATTATCTGTATAATATATATGTACCTTGAAAAATCACAAAAAAATGTATGTATAATATTTAAAATCAGAAAAATACCTCAACTTTTTTTAAGCTGGACTAATTTTAATCAATATTTGTTATGTGTGCAATATGTCTCATTCTGTACTAATTTTTATGATAAATAGATACATTTACATTGTATATACATTTTAAATTTATTAATCTTATTTTTTTTCACAAATAAAAGGAAAATTTAATGATTAAATTATATACAAAAATGGAATACACTKCTATTAAATATTTTTTTTTGTTTTTTTATAATTTGAGAAACATATCAACAATTTGTTTAATTCAATTTCATAAGGTTTCTGTATTACTTATTTCAGATTACAAAAAGTACGTAAAAAGATGGTTTTCAGTATTGATGCCAAAAATAGTTCCATTTTTATATGGAAATGATGGAAACATTATCATGGTTCAGGCGAGTAAATATTTAATATGTATAGTAATTGGTATTTTAAAAAATACACGTCTTTTTTTAGATTGTCATATTTTCAGCTACGTCATTCTAGCACTCCAAATTTGGAATTCTTGTTTTAAAATACCAAAAGGTTTTGTAACTGTTTTGCATTGAAATATAACCTCGATTACTTTTTTTTGGTAACTTATAAGAAATTTCAAATGGACTTAAATAGACTTGATATTTTCACAAAGTTTTTAAACCTACTTGTAACCAATTATAATTTTGGATTTGAAATTTATAATTTAATTCAAATTCCTTAAACATTAAAAATTTAGGAATTCATCACATTCTTAACGAGTGTATTCCTGAATTTATTCTTTTAATTTATTTTGGTAAAACTTGATTCACAATGTTCACATACACCGAGTTACACTAGTAGATAGTTATCAATTATCATAGGAATTTCAGGAACTGGCATGTCATACGGTATACAAAATAATTTATTAGGTACATATTGGTTATTATTTAAGTTGAAACAACTTATTCCTTAGTCTAAATAGGGTCGACGTTTAAGAAAAATGTATTCTATTAAAATTATTTGTATTCAAGTATTAAATTTTGAACTTTTGGTCTTAACCATGAGTAAAAAAAAATCATATTTAGTATTTATTAATTAATTTATTATTAATTTATTAAAATGAATAACATTACTTATCTTAGATAACTGAGTTATCTATAATATTTTGTATATTTTTTTTACTTAGATAGAAAATGAATACGGACATAACGATTTAGGAAACTGTGATATGGAGTATATGTTATGGCTTAGGGATTTAATCTATCATTATGTTGGAGAACAAGCCCAACTTTATACGACCGACGAATGCAATTTATCTTTTTTGAAGTGTGGACAGATTCCAAATGTATTTTCTACTGTCGACTTCGCTGCAATTGTTAATGGTAAGATAAAATGAAATCCTTCAAAAATATTAAATGTAATAGATAGTTAGTAGTATACAGCATACCTATTAGCTATTGATATAATAACAATTATTATAGCAAGATACMTCAAATAAAAAATAAATGGTATTCTCCAAAACTACAATTATATAATATGATTTTTAATATTAATGTAATTCAAAGATATGTGTTACATGTATAACAATAGTATATCAAATATAAATACATTATACAATAATGATTATGGAGCATTTCTATATACCGAAGTTTAGATACATGTTTCAACTGTTTTAATAGAAGTTTGGAATTTACAACTATTTTTATTTAATYATATATTATTTACATCTATAACTTTATTTCTTATAGTAACTGAGTGTTTTTATCATTTGAGACAAGTTCAGAAGAAGGGGCCATTAGTCAACTCTGAGTTCTACGACGGATGGGTCGCGTTTTGGGATAGCCCGCGGCCAGTTAGATATACCAAGGACATAATACGAGTGTTAAAATATTTTTTGGCAACTAACGTATCTTTTAACTTTTTCATGTTCCACGGAGGAACCAACTTTGGATTTACTTCAGGTGCTAATACTAATGGGACAACTTTAGCTAAATCTGGCTATMGACCTCAATTGACCTCGTACGATTTTTCCGCTCCGCTAGACGAAGCTGGTGATCCGACAGAAAAGTATCATGCTATTAAACAGGCCCTTAAAAAAGCGGTAATTAAAATATATTTAAAACTATTATGAAAAATATTTAAAATAAATTACGTCTTTAAAAGCAATTATTTCATATAATCATATTATGGGTAAATAGTTAATAAAGTATTTATAATTATTTGGCTAACAATTTAGGGCATATTATTTCACGTTTACACGTGCAATTGAGGTTTGATTTGTAAGACACGTCACTTAAATTTTCAATAAATGTTCAAAAAATTTAAAATTAATGATATTATTCACGTTTTTACGTCTCACTTATATAGTTCTGTATTTGTATTAGTAATGTAATTTAAATATGATAAAATCATATCATAATAATTATAATTAACTTAAAACATGTTTTTGTGATGCAATATYTACCATCTTCTAAAAATCATTAACTAACAATAATTTCTTTTCGTAAAATGAACATCTATTTAAAGTCTTGGATAATCTTAGGGTATCTTAGATCTTACTATTTTTGACATAAGTTAATAAATAAATAACAAATAAAATTAATCTCTTGAATATGATTCCGATACGTGTTTATGTGTTTTAAAATKTATCAATCTTCGAGTTTACGATATCCATGACTCGTGTACACGTGYGTTTGTATTCACTTAAAAAATTAAAGCCCCTAGTTTAAATAAAGTTTTTTTTTTTTATGTTAATACCTATAAAGTTTTATGATTCAAATTCACACAGTGTTGGATTTAAAATTAAAGTTTCATACCCATAAACATTGAAATACTGATTGAAGAATAAACATTATATGTACCTATAATAGTGAACYTTTTGTACTGTGTATATCATTAAAGGTCTAGATTCAAACGGAACAAAAATTGAAAAATGTAACTTAGGAAGATCGTTTTTATTACACAGATGTTAAATAACAAAAAATTATTATTGAATTTGTGCCCAAAATTATTGGGATTATTAAAATGTGCGTTGAATAAAACATTTGGATTGCGTACAGTGGTGTAATAACGGAAGAAGGATTTAGGTGTCGTATCCTCGATGATTTTTTTTTTTTWAACTGGTAAACAATATTTRCATATAAATATTATTATCTATTAGGTATTACGTACTAAAGTATATTTTATAGAAATAATTCATTAAAGCCAACTCATCCATGCTAGCTGTATATAACTTACATATATGTATTGCTAATGAGGACCCCTCTTTTGATGATAATTTGTTCTAATGTTCTTAAACACTGTTAATAACTTTTAAGTTTAATATATGCGTTTTAATTGCTTACTTAATTATTTAAATGAATGTTTAATTAAATTGTAATTCTGTTATTTACATGTAATATTTTATTCATCTAAATTTTCTACTATTATTCTAATACATTGTACTGTACTTTAATGTTATAGGGGCAACCCGTATATTTTTAATAAATAAATAAATAAATACCTATAATTACTTCGTAATAATTAACACTGATCAATATTGGACATTATATAGATAAAAATGCTTGTATTGAGAGCAGGTGCTTATGATATAAGCCAGTATTTTTTTTTTTTTTAGCTGAGAAGGGGATGAGTAAATTTTCCATTCCCCTCTCCCTTAAATATCAYTTTATTACGCCATTGATGACGTACACCAATAAACTGAAGACATATAATATTTAATACTATTTAGAAATGATAAAATGTTTATAATTTATGTAATTMATTTTCATATTAAAACAATTTTTACAGAATTTCCCAACAGCGTCAAGTCCGAAAATCGCACCAAAGGGGAATTATGGAATCGTAAATATGTTGCCTGTGATCAGTTTATTTGACAATGTAGCCCAACGTCTCAAGCCAGTCTTAAATAACATACCATTATGCTTCGAAGATATGGATATTAATCATGGACTAGTATTATATGAAACAATTTTACCACCGATGGGAGAATTGACCAAATTACCACTAGTTATCAAATCACTTGGCGATCGAGCAATTATCTTTTTGAATAATGTACGTATATTAACATATTATATTATATACCTATCTGTATATAATATATATATTGTGCACACATTTTTTTCGGTACACCTACTATAGATGCTTTATTAAAAATAATAATTTTATCACYGACTATCATCGTATAATTATATATTATAATTAATATATTTAATACAAATTATTTGTAAAATTATTTATCAAATAATATATTTTAAAAATTTAATCAAGATTAATTGTTAACATTGAATAATAATTGAATTCGTTTAATATTTATTTTAATAAATTGATAAAATATTAATATGTGACGGTAATTCAATATTTATTGTTCTAAATTTATTAAAATGTTAATATGTCGTAACCACTTCGTAAATCGATGTTTTCATGAAAAGATGAACATTATTCGTGAAATAGAAACACGTTTTTTACACTTTGTGGAATTCAAAAATATTTCACGAAGTGGTCGATCACTTTGTGTACTGAAATACAACATTTAACAACTTATTCTACTCTTATACATTTTACTTAAATAATTATATATAGTAATAAAGTTTGTTCATATCATATTAATTTATTAACCGTATTGTGAA